ACAGCCTCACAAGATGCTGGATGTAAGAGTCATCCCAGTAGCCAATGCTTACAAATGCAAACCTGAAAGGAGTGAAGAGAAAGCATGTGAATAGATATTAGTACAGCGGTTCTCAACCTGTGGGTCGCGACCCCTTTGGGGGTCAAACGACCCTTTCACAGGGGTCGCCTAAGACCATCGGAAAACACATATATAATTACATATTGTTTTTGTGATTAATCACTATGCTTTAATTATGTTCAATTTGTAACAATGAAAATACATCCTGCATATCAGATATTTACATTATGATTCATAACAGTAGCAAAATTACAGTTATGAAGTAGCAATGAAAATAATTTTATGGTTGGGGGTCACCACAACATGAGGAACTGTATAAAAGGGTCTCGGCATTGGGAAGGTTGAGAACCACTGGATTAGTAGGTTCCAGCCAAGATCTATGGCTAAGTTCCCAGGAACCAGGTCAAAGATCCAGAAGAAAATAATCACCTCAAAGGGCCAAGAAATGTCCACTCAGTGCTCCATTTAAACAGACTCACCCATCCATCTTTATGTTCACAGACACTGCCCATCACGTTTCCATGTCTCACCTCTGCCCTTCCTCATATGGCTAATTCCTTTCCCAGAACCCCAAACAGTAAATAACCCTGACCCTACACTTCATATAGAAGACTTGCAACCATTTATTCACTCAGCCAATCACTGGCCAAAGCTTTTAGTCAGATAATTCTACTCAACCAAAAAGTTCTGTGTCCCGAGGAAAGGAAATTTAGAAACCTTTGGCAAACATCTATGACAACCCAAGTACTTCTGACTCTGTATTAGGTGCCAGTCATTCCACATCCCTTAAGGCAGTCATCGTGGGGAAACCAGGAACAAGTAAACAAACCAGCTACAACTTGGAAATTGCTATGGTAGCCTAAACTCTCTCCACCTTAGTCTACACTATCAGGGGCTACAGCCTGGATTACAGTGGAAGTCTTCTGGGGACCATGAGTGGAACCACTGACAAATCATAGGAGGAGCCTGGTTCCCAAAGGCCAGGCCACACCACTGTGTTCCTGGAACCTGCTCTATCTCTCAAAGGACATTTTTGGAGATAATAAATGCCTTTACCATTTGAAGTAAAGAGGATGGAGAAAAAAGAGGGACAGCTGTGTGACAGTTATGAGCAGGAATAAAGGATAAAAAGATGATGAAGAAAAGAAAAAGTATGAAAAGCAGTTATAAGACTCCAAATGGCATTGCTGAGTCACGGTTTTCTTCACAGTTAATGAAGGAAGAAACAGAACAAATACCATTGTAGAATGCCCTGCCTGTAAAAGGGTTGAAACAAAATTAAATCCATTTGACATCCAAAAAATTAAGCTTTAGGTATGTGAAATGATCTCATGTGGACCCTTATTTCTCCACACTGCGCAATAAATGAGTTTTTCATTGTAATTTTGTGGTCATGTCCATGAAGTACCAGATTTTTATCCACAGATGATAAAGGCCTATTAAAATGTAATGTGCACAGAATTTCCACTTCCAGGAAGTGATGTAGATATACTTTTCTCTATTCCTCCTGCTAAATACAACTAAAATCCATGGACATCATATATAAAACAAACATAAGAAGACTGAAAAGTGGAAAGGAGAGAGCAGACTGGCCAGGGACCTTGGGAACTGAGGAAAAACACGTGACTTCCTTGAATTTCTTCTTCCCTCCTAAATTCCATCCTTGGAGCTGAAGAAGCCAGCCACCAGGAAATGCAATGGGAACTGGAAAAAAAGTTGGGGGGGCGGGAGGAGCCCCAAGTAAAGCCTGCTCTCTCTACCCAAAGCACCAGCCAAGAGGCAGCCTAACGAGACAGGAAACTTTGGAAAACACCACTCTGCTCCAAACACCACAGAAAACACTGTAGCCCACTGCCACTCACACCAGCAGAGGTGAGTGGGGAGCCTAGACTCGACCTAATCAGACTAAAATGAGGTTCCCAACAACCCCATGGAGGCCACATCAGAGAAGACAGATTTCATCCCCACCAAGCATTATATGGAGACCACACGGAGCCTGGAGTTCCACCCTCACCCTGCGGTGCCCTCCTTACCCTCTCGTCTGCAGTGATGTCAGAGACAGGACTTGCCCCACACACACACACCAAGCCTTAACAAGGGCCCTCCCACAGCAGTGTCAGCAGAGACCATGTGGGGAGCCAGAAGCCCCACCCCTGCCCAGCAGTAACGCAGATTCCCCACTTAGGGGGCAAAGGAGGCCAAGTGGCGAACCTGGACTTGTACCTTCACTGGATAGTAACAAGATGGCACCTCCCTGCTCCCCCACTTGAGTGGTTTCAGAGAAGGCCATCTAACACAGAAGGTTTCAATAAGATCCAGTGTTGCTTAACATAATATGAAAATGTTCAGGTTTCAACTGAAAATCACTCATCATACCACTCTTATTCCACACAGTGCTGGAAGTTCTATCCGTGAAATAATGCAAGAAAAGGAAATAAGAGGAATACAGATCAGACAGGAAGAAATAAAACTATTTGCAGATGAAATTATTGCCTACTTAGAAAATATCAAGGATCTACCTAAATAAAAGTCCTAAAACTAGCATGTGAGTTTAATAATGTCACTGGATATACAAAAATTGACAGATTTCTAGATACTAGCAATGAACACACGAATACTGAAATTAAAAATACATCATTTATAGTCCCTCAAAAAATACAAATTAATTAGGTATAAATCAAAGAAAATATAAGATTTGTTTGCTGAAAGCTACAAAACTCTGATGAAAGTAATTAGAGGAGATATAAAATAAAAAGACAGTGTTCATGGGTTGGAAGACTCAACACAAAGATATCAGTTCTTCCCAAATTGATACACAGGTTTAATGTAATTCCTATTGAAATCCCAGCAAGATTTTATAGTTGTAGACAAGAATAATTTAAAATTTATGTGGAAAGATCAAGACAATAGGATATCAAAAAATTATAAAGTAGGAAGAATCAGCCTACCCAATTTCAAAATTATATAGTACAATATTTAAGATCATGTGGTATTGATAGAGACACACATAGATCAATGGAACAGAAGAGAGAACCCAGAAATAGATCCTCAAAAATATGTCCAACTGATTTTGACAAAGGTGCAAAGCAACTTAAGGAAAGATAGCTTGTTCAATAAATGATAAGGGAAGGAGATGACTTTAGGTGGTGAACACACAATACAATATACACATGCTGTATTATAGAATTGTACACCTGAAACCTATATAATTTTATTAACCAATGTCACCCCAATAAATTCAATTGAAAAATGTTTAATGCTAGAATTAACCACAGGCATACAGGTAGCTTAAAAAATAAAAATAAATCAATAAATGGTGATGAAACAATTGGACATCCATAGGCAAAAAAAGACAAATTAACATTGATCTAAGTACCACACCTTATACAAAAATTAACCCAAAATGTATCACAGACTTAAATGCAAAAAGTAAAACTATAAAACTTTTAGAAAAAGATAGGAAAAAATCTTCAGCATCTAGGTCTAGGTAAATAGTTCTTAGACATAACTTCCAAAGCATGTTCCAAGAAAGGAAAACTTGATAAATTGGACTTTATCAGAGTTTAAAAAAAACTTTTGCCCTGTGAAAGATCCTGTTAAGAAAATGAAAAGAAAAGCCTGATATCTAACAAAATACTAGTATCTAGAATATAAAGAACTCTGCCCATCCAGAGTGGCTCAGTTGGTTAAGCTTTGTCCTGTGCACCAAAAGGTTGCCAGTTCAATTCCCAGTCTAGCACATACCTGGGTTGTGGATTCAACCCCTGTTAAGGCACAGAGATGACAGATCAATGTTTCTCCCTCTCTTTCTCTCCCCCTCTATCCCTTTCTCCCTCCCTCCCTTCCTCTTTGTCCTAGGGTGAGGATTAAAAATTAATAAACTAGAATATAAAAAACTCTCAAAACTAAACATTAAAAAAATCCAAATAGAAAATGATCAAATGACATGAAGAGACATGTTACCAAAGAAGATATACAGATGGCAAATAGATACATTAAAATATATTTGACATTAATTTTTTTTGGCAAATAGACACATTAAAATATATTTGATGTTATTAGTTATTAGAGAAATACAAATTAAAACCACAATGAGACATCACTACAGCTTTATTTGAATCGCCAAAATCTGGAAACAACCCAAATGTGCTTCAACAAGCGAATGGCTAACAAATTTGTGGTACATCCATAGACTACTACTCAGCAATAAAAGGGAGCAAACTATTGACATGCACAGCATGGCACCATGTGAGACCTGGCAGAATCTCCAGAATATTTTTCTGGATGGAAAAAAAAAGGATTCCATACTGTATGGTTGCATTTATATAACATTCTTTATATAATAAATTTATAGACATGGAGAACAGATTAATGGTTGCCAAAGATGAAGGTGGGGTTAGGGATAGCATGAGGGATCCTTGTGATGATGGCATTGTTCTTTAGCTTAACTTTATCAGTGTCAATGTCCTGGTCATGATATTATACTCTAGTTTTATAAGATACCACCATTAGGTGAAACTGGGTAGAAGCTACATAGGATTTCTCTGTGCTATTTCTTACAACTGCATGTGAATCCAGAATTATCTCAAAGTAAAAAGTTTAATTAAAATAACCAAGCTCTTTAAAAAAATTGAATGTATAGGGTCATTTGTGAATTTAATGATAAAAATGTACAAACCATCCGAACTTGTTGGACACCATCCTCTTATCCTCATATGCTTCCATCCTTGTTCTTTTTCCGACAGTTCTGTGGTAGGTAGGTGGGTGGGTAAGTAGATGGTTTTTATATTGTGCAGTTACAATTTTTTCAAAGGAAAATATGATTCATGGAAAAAGTCTGGGTATACCAGTAGTTCATTCTTCATTATCCCATGATTCAAGGGAATGCCTCAAGTCTATAGTCATTGCATATAAAATTTCACATTTCTCCCCATCTTCAGGAAAGCCATTAGTGAAAACATCACGAATGACTGTGCTCAACACCAAGGAGCCTGCCATCACAGTGGATATAGGAGGCACCATCAAAACAGTGCGGGGAGTGAATGTGACCATTAACTGCCAAGTTGCAGGTGAGAAATTTACTTATGTGTTAATTCATTTGTTCAGCTCTTAACGAAGCCCTGTGCTAAGGTGGGGATACAAAGATAAACATAAATTCTGTTCTCAGGGATTCAGGGGTAATAGGGAAAGCATGGACCTCAGTCACTGAAACTGGAAAGTGCTATAGAAGTTTAGAGGAAGAAAGAAGAATTCTGACTGGGACAGATGAGATAGAAGAGGTGGTTTTTATCTCAGCCTTGCATACTGATAGAATGTGAATGTGCAAAGATGGAGCAAAGAGTGTTCTAAGTGGGAAAAGAGTGTGAGAAAATTCACGGAAGTAGGAAAGCCCAGGGACTGTCAAAGAACAGTGTGTGCTTTGGTCTGACTGGAGCCCAGAGTGCAGAAAGGGTGTGGAGGGGCTTAAGTTGTAGCAGGGTGGGCTGCACCTGCACCATGGGAGACCTCGAATGCTTGGCCAAAGAGTTTAGACCAAGGCAGATAGTGATGTTAGGGAGCATGCTTCCAGAGGAGTAAGCTACCAGCAGTGCATAAAATGGATGGAAGAAAGGAAATACTGAAACAGCAAGGCCAGTTAAGAAGCCATCATAGTAATTTACAGGAGAGGTAGCGGGGAGCCTGACCTCAGAGCAGTGGTGGTGGGAAGGTAAGGAGTGCATAGCAGAGATAAGACCAACCGGAACCTGGAGCTTATCCATCAGAAGAGAGTAGGAGTCATTAACGAAAATAGCCAGCACGTAGGAGTTGTGAGACAGGCATTGCCCTTGGGTTGGCTTTGCAAACTCAGAGGCCAATAGGGATCAGAAAGTCACAGGGAAGTGGAAGAATAGTGGACAATAGGGCAAGGTGGTATGCTTTGTGTAAAGGTATTCACCTTCAATTAAAAAGCAAAAAACACCAACAAACAAAGCCCAGCTGCTAATTGCCCCTCCTTGTGGCCGAGAGTTTGTGCCGACTACCCTAAGGGTTTTCATGCCACGATGCAAAGAACAAATGAATGGCTCTTGTGTCAGGGACCAGCGACAGTCCCCTGATTGCTGTTCTCATCAGATATCCCCTACTGCGGCACACCCTGACCCAGGCTCCCCAATCATACCCTGTCTGCAGAATAGAAACCAGAAATATAACAGCTTCTTTGTAAAGCTTCCTCTGGTCTGCACATCCAACCTCATCAGTGAAACCTCCTAGAACCAAATCCCTTCAGGCCCAGGACTCCCACATGGGGAGCAAGATAAAACCCCTGGCAGGGCTTCCCATGAATGAGCTGTCCCTTGGTGATGGTGCAGATGGGACCCCTGCTATAGAGCCATCACTTCCCACCTGATCACTGTGAACACAGTCCTTGGAGACAGAACAATGACTATAGATATAATGGACCGTGTTGGGTATCCTCTTGAGAGTTGGGATCAGTATGAGCAAAAGAATGGGGAGCAGTCTAGCTGGCATGGCTCAGTGGTTGAGCATCGACCTATGAACCAGGAGGTCATGGTTCGATTCCTGGTCAGGGTATATGCCCAGGTTGCGGGCTCAATCCCCAGTGAGGGGTGTGCAGGAGGCAGACGACCAATGATTCTCTCTCATCATTGATGTTTCTCTCTCTCCCTCTCCCTTCCTCTCTGAAATCAATAAATACATTTTTTTTAAAGAAAAGAATGAGGAGCAAAGGCAGCAAAACCAGGAATTAGGCACTTGAAAGAGACTGAGACCCAGAATGCAGGTGGGGAAGTATTTACCATGGGGAGCCCAGGACACGAAAACCAGCGTTGGCCAACTCTCCCTTGCCGCCTGGGGCCCTGTCTCCCCAGCTTCAGCCGGAGACTGACTCTTATGAGATCTGAGGTTGTCATATCCAGTTTTGGCCTGGCCATGCACATTAAATTGTTATTTTTACTCATAGAACCATTTGTATTAATCATGGTTAACTAAAAATAAATCTGTGTCTCTGTCATTATGCCTTTTAGAGTGGGAAAGAGCATGCTATTTTTTATTTCCAAATTCTTTTTTTTTCCAATTACAGTTGACATTCAATATTATTTTGTATTTGTTTCAGGTGTATAGCATAGCGGTTAGACAATCATATACTTGACAAAGTGCCCCCCTCCCCATATTTTAAGTACCCACCTGGCACCATACATAGTTATTAAAGTATTATTGACTGTATTCCCTATGCTGTATTTTACATCTCTGTGACTATTCTGTAACTACCAATTTGTACTTTTTAATCCCTTCACCTTTTTCACCCAGCCCTCTATTCCCCTTTTGATTACACAGTTGTTCTGTGAATTTACGGAACAAAGAAAGCGTCCTTAAACTGAATCTCCAGTCAAAATGCTGACAGCTGTAATGCTAAATGGCAGAAGAAACGACTTTTACTTTGCTGCTACAAGTGGCTGTTATGGCTCTCTTATGACATAATTTTAATGGCTATATAATAGTCTATTTTAAGAATATTACATAGTTTACATAGAGTGACTCATGTCCTTACATGTTTGAGTTTTTAGTAGTTTTTCATTAAATAGCTTTTTGCACACATATGCTTTCAACTTGTAAAATGCAGCCTCACAAATTCTTCCCAACCCTTAAACATAAAAAGGATTAGGCAATGAGCATGCTGAGGCTTTTTCTTGAAAAATGATCCAATTTATTGTACCACCCCTCATGCTTTATTCTCTATTTGAGAAAAGTGCAGAAAAATGAGTAGAAGATAAAGGGTTTGGGGGAGGAAAGAGTGGTGCATTCATTGCGAATAGAGTGTGCAAAGGGCCTGAGGTAGAAAGAGCATGCTACATCTGAAGGAAGTGAAACATGACTGGAGTGATTGTAGAATGGAGAACAGAGAGAAAGTGTCATGACATGTGGCTGAGAGGTTGGGGAGAGAGTTTGGCAGGACCTAGATCTTGCAGGCTCTCATAGATTATAGTACAATTTGGTATTTTATCCTAAGAGCAAGGGAAGCTTTTAAAGGATTTAAGAGATAAAATTGTCAGGACTAGGTGATGCAGAAATAACTAGTGGAGGAGTCAATGATGGGCAATATGTTAGGGTAGGCTAGACTCTGGTTACACATAGGCCCCCAAATGTATAATGACTCAAATCCAATAGAAATATATTTTTGCTTATTTAAGAGTCCAAAGAGTATTCCTGGTCAGCTAAAGAGGACGTGCCCCACACAGTCATTCAGGGTCACAGAATGCTGGTGGCTCTCTTATCTTGAGCACATGCCTCCCAAGGCCTTCCTGTTGGATATCTCTACCCTAACAGTCAGAAGAGGGAGGAAATAAAGTGTGGAGGATGGCTAGGAAGGTTTTTAAGGGCCACACTTGGAAGTAGCACACACTACCCTTCACATTTCCTCCTAGTCATATGGCCACCCACAACTACAAGGGATGTTGGGCAGTGTAGCCTAGCTGGGTAGAAGGAAATTGGTTCTGTGAACAGCTACCCGTGACTGCACAGTCAGTATGGAGCAATTAGAAAGCGCAAAACCTCCTTTCCAGACCCCATTGTTTTCTAGAATTGCCAAGGCTGGCATTTAAATTACTGTATCCTTTCCTTTTCTTGTGCCTTTTCACACTTACCATGTCAAGGTGCACCTTTCAGTGAACACCCACCTTGAGATGTTGACAAGCTGCCACGGTGCAAGCAACCTTCCAAATAGAACAAGTAGTCTAGTTTACAAGAATATCCTGTCTGGTTTAAAAACAGAATATTAGTACATCACCCTACCTGCCAGCTCAGTGGAGATTAAAGGCACTAATCCTCATAATCATATCAAATTACAACCCATTTTGGCCAGACTCATTTATTGATTCGTTCAAGCAACAGGGAGGGCATTGTATTGTTGATAAGATATGCCACAAAGGGGGAAAAGTAAAGGTAGGTTCTTTTCCTTTCCTTTTTTAGACACACATCATTCCAGGGAGTCCAGAGTATGAAGTCTAACCAAGTAACTTGTCAACAACGTAGCTATGGACTTTGTTCTGTGGTTGAGTGTATTTTCTGTCATTTTTCAGACATTTCTGACTGTAGAATATACTGTTACATCATAACAGGCTAGAAAAAAAATCTCCCACAACTTAACCAAGTTTCTCAATAAGAAAAGAGCTAACGCCTGGCTCCGTGGTTGAGTGTTGACCTATGAACCAGGAGGTCATGGTTCAATTTCCGGTTAGGGCACATGCCAGGGTTGATCCCCAGTTGGGGAGGGGGATGCAGGAGGCAGCTGATCAATGTTTATCTCTCATCATTGATGTTTCTCTCTCTCACTCCCTTCCTCTCTGAAAGCAATAAAAAAAAAAAAATTTTTTTTTAAGAGAGAGAGCTAACAAAGCCAGCACACATGAGTTTGAGAAACCTCCCTCATAAGGATACCTTGGTATTACAATTAGAGCAGAAAGCATAATTCTAAAAGTAGAAAGTACTTAAGGATTTGACACCAGAAATAATAGTGCAGCAATTCAGATCCTCTCTGAGGAGTCAGTCCACGAGAATGGCAGGCAGGATTAAGAACAGCAGGACCTTGAGTAATGTCATTTCATTCAACTTTTTTCTTTATAGCGTTGAGATGCTGTAGGAACCTCTCTTGTTAATATCAATTAGCCCATGGTAAAATTGGCTTTTTAATACCATTTTTAGCTTAAATCTGAGAACCCATCAACCATGTTAAGTGAGGACTTTCTACTTGTTAAGATGGGATCTCCGGCATCAAGTGTATGAGTTTGGATCCCCACCCGGCCATTTGTAGGTCACTGACTAGCTGGGAGCTAAGTAGGGGCCCACGGGCTCTATTCCCAGATATAATCATTCAGGGATCCAAACTAAGGTGACTTTAGGCAGATTTCTTACTCTCTTTGAGTCCCACTTTTCTCGTGTGTAAAATGGGATTATTAATAATCCTCATAGGATCATTGTGAAAATATGATGATGTTTCTCAAATATTTGGCTTATAGTAAGTGTTCTTTCTCCCTCTGATGTGTTTGGGATACTTTCGCATAGCTCCTCACCTCGGTGCACCCTGATGTTAAGGTGTTCTGAATGTCAGTATTAAGCATGTGTATTTGGACGCTTTTTTGAGGAACTCTGGCGCATGTGAAACCTAGTGGAGTTTCTAAAGCATAGTTGTCATCTCTTGAGAGAAAAAGAAAAAAGAGCTTTCTCATGCCTCACTTATTTTTCTTCTTCCCTCACCCCAACTTATCTGTAGTATGTCAGAGCCAATAATGGAAGGACTGACTGTCACTTCAAAGCATCTTCTTGGTGTCATTCTCTGCCTAAGGGCTCCAGGCTCAGACAGGACGGCCCCACACTGTGGCACCAGCAATGACACCTCCACCGGCGAGCTCATGATGCGGTACCTGCTTGAGTGAGCCCGAGTGAGAGGTTTGCTGATAAATACAGGGTGTCCCAGGAAATGTATACACACACTTGGAATAATTATAAAGGCCGTGTTTGTTAAAATACATTTCATTTTCAGAATTGAGCTCTCAGCTGTTACAGTGTGTGTACATTTGGGGGACACCCTGTATATTACAATGATTCCTACATATTTCTCTTCCCTTGGCCCTGCTGGCACTTCTATGGTTTGTTTTACGGAGACAGAAGGTTACTTCCTTCCACACTTTGCTTTCCTGAGCATTTCCATTTCTCCAATGAACCTGAGAAATTCAGGCCTTTCAGTAAACAGACCCAATTTGATGAGGGTGGGAGGCAAAGAATGAGGCGAACAGAAAGGCTCAGCCCCATTCCTGGGGAAGTGAGAAATGGCTCCCAGGTCTTTCCCTCCTGGGGTTCTCTGCCTGTCCCTCCTCCTCCTCTTTCTCACCATCTCCCCTCTCCTTTCCTCTCTCCTCCTGCCTCTGACTGCACTGCAGGAGCTCAGGTTCTGACCAGAGAAGGACCCGCTGGTGAGCAGCAGGGCACCTTCTGCAGGAGGCACCACGCTGCATGCACAGAGCCCCACACCACAGCCCATCGCCAGGACGGCACAGTCACGGAGAAAATGTTCACACCCCCACTCACTTTATCATCATGCTTTCATGGGTGGAACTGAAGGCCCATTGAATCCAGGTCTCTCACTCTGCCTCCTGCTCCTGAGCAGCCATAGTTCCGATTAGGGGTTGTGTGTGCTGCCCACAGCCCTCAAAGGAAGGTGCGGCCATGGTGCTACTTGCGAGCTCTTCATTGCAAGGGAAATACTTGTAGAAGATGGCTTGTGGGACCTCATTTTTCTTGGGGAGAGAAGTGACGGAGGATGTTTTCTCGAACTTGCTTTGCAGAGGCTTTCTCCTGAATGCTCTGTGTGTGGGGGGGCGAGGGGGGAGGGTTAATACATAAAAACTGAGCTCAGAGTCCAAAGTGCACGCTGGCATGGCGGGGCATCATGATGCTCTTGCTCTCCCTAGTGGTGCTGCCATGAAAAATCAGCTTTCCTGCCTCTCACCCGCATCTTCTGTCCAGGTGTGTTCAGAGACCATGCCAGCCTGGCCCCTCTCATGCATTTGAGCATCAGGTGTCACCACGTGTGTAACCTCTCCCTGATGGATCGGGGTGCTGTATCCAAGTCTCCACTCCCTCTCAGCAGCCCCGCCTCTTCCTCTGAACAGCCATGTAGGTCCCTAGGGATTCACACTGAATTATGGGTAACATGAATAAAAGTGAAGACCAGAGAGTCGCTCCTGTGTTCTCCATAACAGGGAGAAAGGGCTCACAAATTGGCTGAACACTCTGGCCACCTGCCTGGGGCCATCGCTCCAGGCTGGAAAAGCCCACCTGAGGCAGCAGAGCAGCCGGGACAGCAGTGAGTTCACACAAGGCAGCTCATTGTTAGGTGAGACCGTGCTCCCACCCCACCTCACTTCCTCCACCGGAGCCCGGGAACAGCGGGTGCACCGGGACTATAGTGGGGGCTCTTCAGCTGGGTGGCATAGAGTAGACTGGGGTAAATTTTTATCAGATTCAAGGACAAGGAACAGGTGCATAGGTAACTCTTGAAGGTGCCTGCATCCTAAACAGTAGGCTGCCCATTAAGGACAAAATCCAGCTCCAACTCTGGGAAAGCACAGGACAAAAGGTCTGGCTCTTTAACTAGTCCTGGTTTGACCCTGTTTACCAGGATTTGACATTCTAAATAAACCCTGCATATCTGCCCAAGAATTCTGAGTAAACTGTGAGCTGGGTCCGCAGGCTGGGGTGCAAGGGAAGGAGCTTTCTGCTCCCTGAAGATCTGTCTCCCAATTCACTCAGAGGGAGCCTTATGCAGACCATCTCAAGCTTGTGCTAACCTCGGGCCTGCTGATCAGCATGTCAACCACAAGGAACTTCCTAAGGAGTTAAGGCAGTCTACTCAGGCTGCTGTTTACTACAAAATACCATAGCCTGGGAGCCTTAAACCACAGAAGGTTACAGCTCACCGTTCTGGAGGCTGGGAATTCCTAGATCAAAGTGCTGATCCATGCAGTTCCTGGTGACAACTCTTTCTGGCTTGCAGGCAGCTTTCTTCTTGCTGGGTCCTCACCTGGCGAGAGTACTAGCCCTCTGATCTCTTCTTACAATGGCTCTAGTCCCATCATGAGGCCCACCCTCCACCCATCATGACCTCATCTACATCTAAATGCCTCCAAAGACCCCACCTCTAAAGACTATTGCACTGAGGTGAGGGCTTCAACATATCATTTTGTGGAACACAAGCCTTCAGTCTGTAACACCCCTAGAAGACTTCTTAAAGGAGGTGTGCAATCCCAACTCATATTCGCACACTCTCCCCAGCTCTTTCTCACAGTGAACTTGGACTGAGGAGAGAGCAGAGTACTTCCTTCCTGTCTTTCTTTTTCTGTGCTGCTGATACCTTAGTTCCATGTCCTCTTGTTCTAAGAAAATACACAGGCTTCAAAAATACAGCCATGTTTTCTATGTGTATCCTCAACTCTGGTAAGGATCTAGCAGCTCTCCTTTGTCTGGTTCTTGAATGTATTAACTTTTGTGGCTTTTAGCTTTTGTGACTTTTATTAAAGTGTTATATCTCTACAGAAAAGAGCACATGTCATAAAGGTGCTAAACTCACCAAACCAGCCCCCAGGTCAAAAAACAGAGCCTTACCAGCAACCATTTCCCTGACTACTAGCAGCATAGGTTGATGTTACCAGTCTTTGTTTCTTACTTACACAAAGGAAATCATGCAGTAGATACTCTTCTGTGTCTGACTCTCTTATTCAATTTATTTGTTTCATATTCACTGACAGATCTAGGTTTGGTTGTTATATTTTTACTAGAGGCCCGATGCATGAAAATTCATGCAAGAGTAGGCTTTCCTTCCCCCGGCTGCCAGCACCGTTTCCCTCCGGCACCCAGGACTCGGGCTGGCTCCCTGTGGGCCAGCTGCAGGCACCCGGGACCCGGGCTGGCTTCACTCGGGCCGCCCACAGGCACCTGGGACCTGGGCTGGCTTCCCTCTGGCCCTGGCTTCATCAGGAAGGACGACCGGAATGACATCCAGAAGATGTCTGGTCTAATTAGCATATTATCCTTTTATTATTTTAGATAATGTTTTCTCCAAAGAATCTTTGTATTTTCCTTCCACCTTGGAAGTACCCTTTACCAGCCACATGCTTCCTCTTCTTTAACTGGCCTCTCTCTTCCTGCCTCGTCAGTGTAAGTTCAAAAATCAGAAGACCCCCAGACAACAGAGAGGCCCGAGGCATTATTTAGTTTGGCCAAAGGCTGGTAGAAGACGCCCAGGCAGATGCTTCCTGCGGCATCCCCACCAAGAGGCTATAAATGCCTCCAGAATCACCTGAACGTGTTTGGCTGATGAGTTTATTTATTTATTTATTTTTTGCTTCCTAGGTGTGCCTGAAGCTGAAGTCACTTGGTTCAGGAACAAAAGCAAACTGGGCTCCTCTCACCATCTGCACGAGGGATCCTTGCTACTCACAGACGTGTCCTCCTCGGATCAGGGCCTGTACTCCTGCAGGGCAGCCAATGTGCACGGAGAGCTGACTGAGAACACCCAGCTTCTGATCCTAGGTAAGCACCTCCAGGCTGGCTGCCCTGGTGGGCCCCGTTAGGGGTGACTCACTCACCCTCCACCTCCTCTTTTCCATGATCCAAATACATACATAAAGATAAAATCAATATCCCTCCCCTTAGGGCCTTCCAATAGAAAGAATACAGCCTTTGGGGCCAGGCAGACATCAGTTTGAACCCTGGCTCTACTGCTTACTCACTGTGTGACCTTGGGCAAGTTACTTCACCTTGCTAAGTTTAGATGCTGGTCTTGTGTGGAGACCTGCAAAACAAGGATTGCCCGCATTGGTGGATGGGGCCAGGTGTAACAGAAGTGAAGTAGTGAGTCTTTTTTTTAATGTATTTTTTATTTCCGAGATGAGGGGAGAGAGAGAGTGACATAGAAATAACAATAATGAGAGAGAATCATTGATCAGCTGCCTCCTGAACACCCCACACTGGGGATCCAGCTCGCAACCCAGACATATGCCCCGACGGGAATTGAACCATGACCTCCTAGTTTTTAGGTCGACGCTCAACCACTGAGCCATGCCAGCCAGGCTAAAGCAGTCAGTCTTAACACCTGTGTCAAGGACTTCTTTGAGAATCAGATGAAACTAAATTACCCCCTCCAGAAAAATTTATACATGCTAAAACTTTTATGTCCTTTAAGGAAGTTCATAGTCTAGTCCACATGAAATCCAGACATACACCCTCCTGTCTTAGCCCATTCCAGCCACTATAATAAAACACCACAGACGAGGTAACTTATAAACAACAGAAATGTATTTCTTAGACTTCTGAATGCTGGAAATCCAGGATTGGTGTGCCAGCATGGTCGGGGTCTGGTGAAGGCCCCATTCTGGCTGCAGACTGCCTGATTCTTGCCGTGCCCTCGTCCTACAGAGGGAGAGGCCAACTGTCTGGGGTCTCTTTTATAAGGACACTGATCCCCTTAAGGCGTAATCACCTCCCAAAGTCCCCACTACCTAATACCATCACCTCGGAGTTGGTTTAGGATTTTACCACATGAATTTGAGGGGACACAAACATTCAGACTAGAGAACTCTCTAACATAAGAACTCCTGATTAAAGAGCCTATCACAGTTCCTGGCATAAAGTAGGTATTTAAAATGAACAGCAGTTGCTTGGACACCACCATCCCTGCTGTTGCTCAGTGTAGGACTCAGCATGTTGTGAGCTGCAGCCCTTGTCCCTTGGACTAGGGACTCTCTGTTTCTCTTCACCACAGAGTCTGGGCGTTGGTGGAATAGAATAAAAAATGCCTGCTTTTGTCTTACTTTTTTTTTTAAGGCAATTATTAGAGCACTTTCTCTTGATGAGAAAGGTATCATTCTAAGGGGAAAAAAGAAAAAAAATATGATTAATTACACACTATGACTTCACCAGGGAAAAATAATTAAACGTTATACTTGTATTCACACCCCAAGTTGAGGATATACCAAAGCCCAGCATCTCCAGCCACTGCCAACTCCGAGAGGCCCAGATGGGTTCTCGTCTCACCAGTGGCTGCATAAACCTCCAGTTGTCTTAGGAAGTCAGAGAAAATCAGCTCATTGAAGGATGTCATTTGTTTTGGGTTGGGTTTCATCAGAGCTGCTAGTCTGGAGCCGGGGGCCCAGCGCTTATTGCCCCACACTGAGTTATGGTGCTTACTGTGGGTTTCTCTTCCCTAATAACCCTTCCTTATTGCCTCTGCTAACAGAGATGAAAGCCTAGGATGTGTAGCTACTACTGTAGCTTTGCCAGTGAAGAGTGTGTATTCTGGGAGCCAGTCCTTGCAGCATTTCAGCACTAATATGGTATGACTGTGAGCATGGGGCTTGAAGAGCAGAACGGCTTCCCATTTTAATCAAACTTGATGAGAAAAAAAAATCACTATTTTAGGCTTTTACGTTTAGAGCTTTTCTTAATCAGAAGCCTTGATTTATTCATCAAAGTTTGTTAGTTTTATAGGTAGTTTATGAACTTAGAAGTAGTGCTTCCTTTTTTATCAGCCAAAAATATGGCTTAATTTTTAAATCAGGGATTTCATGTATAAAGCTGCAGTTTTACGCCAAGTTCTGTGATTTAACCTGTAGCAAGGAGACTTGAAGTATAATGAGACAGAATATTATTCATTTACTCAGGTAGTCACTGAATGATTATTCATTAAGTGCTGCCTCTAAGTTCCACGTAGGACAACTATAAGGGGTGACCTCTGACCTTGGAGAAGTTACAGTGTCCCTGAGAAGATCAAATGGACATATACCAAAAAAGAAAAATGTCATAGAAACTGTGAGGACATTAGAAGGTGTCGACATTTGGCCCAAGGAGATCTGATGGGTTTTAGCAAATAAGCAAAGGCTTACTGCATTTTAGCTTTCTTAAAGAAATATTCAATTGCAATATTGCAGGAACTCCGTTTCCCTCAATATTCAATTTCATTGTTCTTGAGGGAATATTAAAAAGGATGCGAGGAAAAGAGTCTGGGTTTGAGTAAACTGCCGCCATCAATTGCTAAAACCGTGGGGTTTGAGAGCAGAAAGAAATCTTGGAAATGATGAGGTTCCATTTAATAGACAGGGAAACTAAGGCTCAGAAGGATTAGTGACTTGCCCAAGTTAGTGAAAGACAGAGCCACAGCTCAAACTGAGGGTTCCTGAACCCAAACCGGATGTTTCTGAACTAGACTCTGGCACCATCATGACCTAACAAGCACCTAACAAGGTGGCAAGCACATAGTAGGCCCTCCCTGAACCCTATTGAAATAACCATCAATTACAAGAACAACACTCCTGTTTCTCTTTCTGCTCCAGCAAGGGCTGGAGAGGAAAAGGTAGGAGTCGGCCTTGAGAGTGTGAATTGCAGGGCATCAGGGGGAGCGGGAGTCTGCGCTTTCCCAGGAGAACCAGGGATCATCCCGCCACTAGGTTCAGTAGCCGCTTGCCTCTGTATTTGTCCAGTGGAAATGACAAGCCACTGTATTTCCCATTGCTGTCACCTTGGCTCTGGTTAACGTGACCCCTGATGACTTCAGCCCTGACTCCTTATCAGACTTGAAATAGCAAATGATCCCTGTCTGGTTTATGTGTCCTATTGAGCATGAAAAATTCACACCACAAAGCAAGTTAGCTTATCGACTTCATAGATGGACCCTTTTCCTCATAGAAAAAGCCACTCATGGGCTCCTTTTAAGTAAGAATTCCTGTGGCATATCCCTATCCGTGGGGACAAGAATAAAGTGCCCCCCTCTAAGGACGTTATAAATGAAAGCTCTTTAATATAGGACTTGACATTTAGTAATTGCTGAAGAAATGTTGGCTTCTTAAGAGTGTCTTTACAATGTGGTTTAATGTACCTACATTTATAGGGACCCAGTGGTCCTGCGGTATAAAGTGGTATTAGTCAGGAGCTTCTGAAATCTACATGCCTGATTCTTATTACTGACCTTATTGGTTCAAGTGTTGTTTGAAATTCAGACTCAATTTGATAGGCACACCTTCTCAATAGGAAAAATTATGTTAAAAGGCAACAAGAGTAATGCCTGCCTTACACACAGACACAATTACACGCATGCGCACCCCTCATTCCCCCCTTAATATGGCCTTCATGCTTTAACCTGTCTGATTCACCATCTGCCTTCTCACAGATCCCCCCCAAGTCCCCACGCAGTTGGAGGATATCAGAGCCTTGCTTTCAGCCACCGGACCGAACCTTCCTTCAGTGCTGATGTCTCCTCTGGGAACACAGCTGGTCCTGGACCCTGGGAATTCCGCTCTCCTTGGTGAGTCCAACCCTCTGGAACATTGGGCAGCAGTCCAGGGCTGGACAGGATTTATGGGTGGGTGACTGCTTGCAGGTGGGAAGGAGGCAGCAGTGGGGGGTGGCCAACAGGAAATCACTAAATTGCCTACAGAATCCAGACTCACCAGTGGAAACTTGGCTGACTTTCCATATGAGGTGAGCGCAATTCTTAGTCTGGACTCTAGCTTGTCTAGATTCCAACGTGGCTCCTTTCTGAATCCTCTTGGGCCGATTCCACAGTCCAGATCCTCTGTATCAGACTGACTCACCGAACGATGAGTAAGGAACAGCTCCTGTATCTCCTCTTCTTGCCAATCACACCCCAGTATTCCCCCATGACTTCCTCCCAACTAAACAACAACTCTAATCAAGTTTCAAAGAGAAAGATGAAATATCAGCATCCCCCCAAAGCCAGACAATTCTATTTACGCCAGCCTTATATTGGTAGGACCGACACCCAACCCAGATTCCTCAAACCAAGTGTTTAAATAACTTCACCGGGTACAGCTTCCCTGGCATCTGTCATTGGGACCTTCACCAAGTTAATGCCCACATGGCTGGTGCTCTCTGGTAGTAGAGAGTTGTTCAAGGACATTCAAGTCCTGGGTCCCTCTCCCTTGAATCATGAAGATGCCAGAGGAACCCCTGCATCCCCAACATGACCTCCGGAGATAGTCAAGGTGGAAGAGAAGAATTCTGCCTTCAAAGGCCTAAAAGAAAAAAAGCCTACGAAATGGAAGAAAACCTTCATGCTAACTCTATATGGTCCCAAATATTGGTAATGGCAGCTAGACTTATTCCTTTGGCTCAAAGTTAAAAGTTTCTGAACCCTTAATCCCCATCCACCAGCAAGGACCAGGAAGCCATTGAGTTTCCAGTCATACTGCTGATGATGTATTCTCAACATGGCCATGGGGTCAGGTATCTTTAGGATTACAACACAGAAAGATTACCTTCAGTTTTCATTATCATCTGAAATTAGCAAACACTACTCACAGCTTATAGGGAAAAGCTTCTGATTTCTCTGTTTCTGGGTAAAAATAAGACACTGATACAGGAATGAGTGACCCTTTTCTGTTCCCCATAACTTATACAGCTTGGCATTGAGTTTTTCCACATCATTTTGATCAGAGTTCATAGAAGTTGTAAACTGCTTGTTTTCCTTGGCTTATAAATGGTAAACTTGTTCTAAATGAAGTGTGTACATTGTAAAGTTTTTTATTTTAGACTCATCACCATGAGAAATTGTCATAACTATTCATCATAGCCCAGCCACTAGCAGAGGGTACAGCAATTGATTATTTTTAAATTCAATAACTCTTGGGTCACTCAGGTGCCATTCAGCATGCTGGAAAAGTTAACCTGCTTGTATTTTTCCATGAGAGCTTTATTTTCTCCCTTATTCTGGAATAATATTTTCTCTCATTTTAGCCATGGGCAATAAGAATTTATTGTGCTTTATGCTGCTGCATTTCATTGCTAGTTTATAGTGTTTTGTTACAATAGACTGGTATTTAAATCTAACAGTTAAGAGGCACCTTAATACACTAGTTCATATCCAGACTGCTCCATTTGAATGAGACAGCAAGTCAATTACCATAAAATCCCTGAATGTAACTGCCTGGGCAAAAATGGGCCCTAGTGGTGAATGTCGCTGTCTCGCCAGCACTATAGACCTAGGAGAGATCTACGTGGAGTTATGGAGATGAATTAGGGAATGATGTCAAATTTAAGGACTCTGAGAAGCAGGTCATTTGAAAAATACCAGGGCCTCACTGTGATGGTTTGGAGCTGAGCACCAAAGGATAAGTGGGACTCCAATAGGCAGAAATGAGGGAAACAGGCACTTAAAGTGAAGATGCTATAAGCACAGAGATTAAAATGTGTGGGGTATGTATCGGGTGCCTATTCAGTAACAGCTATAAAATAGCACCGCTTTAAAACTGATAACGGGCAGCCAAACTGGGATAGAAACTAGGCCATCAAAAGGAGCAGGCCTCAGCTAAAGCTTGTCCACTCAGATTTGACTTGGATCCCTCCCCAAATTTCTGATACCCTCCTCCATCTCAAAACTCCCAGTTATTGACTCATCCTGATCTCTTAATCCAGCTGCTCCCCTTTGGACAAATTCCTGCTCCTGCTCCTACTAGCGACCCTTTTAGACTAGAGTGTGTACTCTGAGTACAAGAAATAGGTCTCGCCCAGCCGGTGTTGCTTAGTGGTTGAGCGTCGACCTATGAACCAGGAGGTCACAGTCAGGGCACATGCCCAGATTTCAGGCTCAATCCCTTTTGTGGGCATGTAGGAAGCAGTCGATCAATGATTCTCTCTCATCATTGATGTTTCTATCTCGCGCTCACTCTCCCTTCCTCTCTGAAATCAATAAAAATATTTTTTTAAAAAAATAGGTGAGGGAGGTGATTTTGTGTATGGTTGATGAGAACATTAAATGATGACAAATTGTGGAGGACCTTGATTATTAGACAGGAAGTATATTTACTAAGTGGGAAATGGAGATAGACCTTTAGAGGGTTAAGTAGGAGAATGATGTAGTAAAAGTAATATTTAAAAGAATTAATCTGACATTCTATAAGGGTAATCAAGAGTAGGAGAGATTTAATGAAGACACCTATTTTGAGGGTAACACATATTCTAAGCGAGGCTAGAAACAGGTAGCAAAGATACTATTAGTCACCCCTTCCACAGCCAAGATGTTCCTGATCAATCATGACATTCTTTTCCACTTAGTCCAGGCACTGCCTTGCAATTTATTTTAACACTAGAGGCCCAGCGTGCAAAATCGCGCAAGACCCAGAGTCCTTCCCACCACCACCACAGGGTCCAAAGTCCCTCCTGCCACCACTGTGGGAGGGACCCATCAATGCACCTCCTGGTGACCAGTTGTTTGGTCGTTCCGGGGTTACGGTGTTACGGCCACTAGCTTTTTATAATATAGACTAGAGGCCTGGTGCACAAAAATTTGTGCACTCGGAGGGGGTCCCTCAGCCTGGCCTGTGCCCTCTCGCAGTCTGGGACCCCTTTGGGGATGACCACCTGCTGGTTTAGGCCTGCTCCCTGGGGAATTAGGCCTAAGCTGGCAGTCAGACATCACTCTGGCAACCTGGGAGCCCTCAGGGGATGTCCAGTTGCCAGCGGGGAGCAGGCCTAAGCTGCAGTCAGACATCCTTAGCGCTGCTGAGGAGGCAGGAGAGGCTCCTACCACCACTGCTGTACTGGCAGCCGTCAGCCTGGCTTGTGGCTGAGCAGAGCTCCCCCTGTGGGAGCGCACTGACCACCAGGGGGCAGCTCCTGCATTGAGCGTCTGCCCCCTGGTGGTCAGTGTGTGTCATAGTGACCAGTCATTCCCACCCTTTCTGCTGTTAGGGTCAATTTGCATATTACCCTTTTATTATATAGGATAGAGGCCTGGTGCATGGGTTGGGGCCAGCTGATTTGCCCTGAAGGGTGTCTCGGATCAGGGTGGGGGTCCCGGTAGGGTGCCTGGCCAGCCTGGGTGAGGGGCTGATGGCTGTTTGCAGGCTGGTCACACCCCCTTCAGGGTGGGGGTCCCCACTGGGGTGCCTGGCCAGCCTGGGTGAGGGGCTGATGGGTGTTTGCAGGCTGGTCAAGCCCCCCCACCCGTGGGGACCCTCACCCCATGGAGGTTTGGCCAGCCTGGGTGAGGGGCTGAGGGCCATTTTCAGGCTGGCCAAGCCCCCTGGCTTCGGAAGCTCCCAGCCTCTCTCCTTTTTTTCTTTTTTTTTTCATTCTGGGATTTATTTACCTTCTATAATTGAAACTTTGTTGCCTTCAGTGGAGCTCAGAGCTGGCTCCTGCTCGCTCCAGCTCCATGGCCGGCTGAAAGCAGGTATCTGGGGTTTATTTATCTTCTATAATTGAAACTTTGTTGCTTTTAGTGGAGCTAAGAGCCCGCGGGAAGCTTGGCTTCCTCCATCACTGGAGCAACCAAGCCTCCTGCTCGCTTCAGCTCCGTGGCTGCCGGCTGCCATCTTGGTTGGGTTAATTTGCATATAGTCACTCTGATTGGCTGGTGGGCATGGCTTAAGGTGTAGCGAAGGTACGGTCAATTTGCATGTTTGTCTTTTATTAGATTAGATTAGATTTCCACCAAGCATGGTGGCAGTTGGCATACAGGGCAAGATTTTGGATTTTTTAAAGCCATATATCAGAACTAACTCTCTTCCATTAAGGCTCCCAATAGGTGAGTCTACTCCAGAAATGGGTATTTAGTTATCAGACACTCTGGCATTGATATCACTTCAAGCCACTGCTGCAACTTTCAAGAAGAAGGTGGATTGAGCAACATGCGCCCATCTGGCCTCACTTTCCATAACTGTAAACGAAGACCTAGGACTAGTGGGTTCCTTGTTGCTCTCACATTCTTTGTTATATGACTTAGACATGAAAAATGCCCAGTGGAGGCTTGGCCATGCAGAGTGGACCCAGCCTACCTGGATCTGTTGTCCTAGGCAAGATAGGTGCTACTTTTTTTTGTCCTTGTTTTGCAGCTGTTCTTTCTGCAGGTAGGCCTAAACTGTGACAACTGTTCTGGAGGCAAAGCCCATGCCCCCATCCTTAGTGGTCCAAGGCCTGGTCACAGGGCTCCATTTGTGGAACAGCAATCATTCAGGCCTCCCTACACCTTTTAGCAGACTTCTGTTAAATATTTTTAGCCACTGAGGCCCGAGGCTAACATGTCTCACAGTATCATTTATAGCAGTGGTCGCCAACCAGTGGTCCACAGACCACTGGTGGTCTGTGAGGTTCGAAAGGTTGGCGACCAGTGGTTTAAGGAAACCTTTGGAGCAGCAGTCACCAACTGGTGGTCCACGGACCACTGGTGATCCGTGAGGTCTGAAAGGTTGGCGACTGCTAATTTATAGGGTATTAGAAAAATAACTTTTGTTGGAGTTTTATTACAAGAGTAGTACATGCTCATTGTAGAATAATTAAGAATAG